TACCTTGAAATTGAGCTGCAAAGCTTGCAGATGGGTGATTTGCTTTGGTTTACCAAAGTCGGTCCAACTCTTAAGCAACTGACCTCAAGCAACAATATTGCTTGGAAAACCATGGTTTTATTTATGTATCACTATATTTATCTGTGCATAGGTTTTAAATGCATATCCTGCTCTTACATGGGTCTTGTATAATAAATATCTGAAAAGTTTACAGGTTTATTTATTTATTTTTATTTTTTTGCAAAATGATTCAATAATCAAAACTTTATTGAGCATAGTGGTTACTACCTAAAGTTCCAACTCATCAAATGAGACTAAGGAGGAGGAAGCTGACAGGCAGTGCCACACACTGGACTGGATGCAATTATGAAGGGAAGCAGCTAGGGTGACAGAGAGCAGAGCGAGGTTGCTGGGGCAGCCCCCCATTTGCCCTAAAGGACCAGTTTGCACTGCTCTATTCCATGGGACATTTCTGTATGTCTGTTTCTAAGGTACAATGGCTACTTCATGGTGACTCTTACATTTCTGAAATGATTGTTTGAATTGGCTTAGTGAAAAAGAGCATGTATTCCCTAGCAGCACTTAAATATTACAAAAAACTGTTTATTTATTTGGAAATAAATTATTTAAGAAGACAAGCACCACTGTAGCCCACTGTTAAATATATATTTCACTCAATAAACATTCCTGTTTTTTAAAGGACAAAAAAAGTCAAATGTTTGGAAAAAGTGAAGTATTTCAACAGTTGATTTATCAGTCATTCAGGTTGCCTGTACCTACAGCAAATAAATATATTAAATACATTGTTAAAACTCTTTTCCATAGTATAGATCTTTTCTTAAATCGGTTATCTTCTGTGAAATGTATTCTTCAGAAATAGTTTTGCACGTGTGATAGATATGTGATGTCCCAGTGGCTATATATTATATTCTTCCTCCCATGCACACACCTCCTGCAGAGATAGCAGACTACAGAAGCTGACCCTTACTGAGACCATCTTGTCTATCTGACAAAGCTCCTTTTTAACTTCTTACTTACTGCTTACTTCCTGCGATGGAGAAAAACTTTAGCTCTGCTTGTGATAATTTCACAGGCCCTGAGTACCCTGACCCTAGAAGCCCCAAGGTCAGAAGTCAAATCTTGTTCTGAAACATCTGTGTGCTTCATATTAAAGTAGAACAAAAGTGGAGAAATATCCACCAGCGTGACAAGAGAAACAAGCAAAATGGGAATGACACATTGGTCATCTGTTAGCCATGCCATCTCAAGCCAGTGACTGAAAAGGGAGAAGGGAAGCTTTAGTTGAAAACAGTTTTGAATCTTAATACTTCAGGCAAACATTTCTATTTTTAAAATTAAGAATTAACAAACTGAACGTGTTACATCTCTTGCCAACAGAGTTCCACAAATTAACAGTCTGCTAAAACATAAATCATTACAATATATGGGGAAATTATATGTATCATTTAAAATGTTAATTGTTAATAACGTCTTTTGAAAACATGGAAGGTCTTTTTACTGCATACTTGTGCATAGCACTGACTAGACAAGACAATATTTTCTGGTTACAAAGGGTGATAAAAATGTAAAAAATTACAGCTGATCATGTCAGTCAAATATTTGGGAGGCTAGACAGATAATTCTCTGTTTTCTGTTCATCATTCACAATACACGGCTGGAGAAACAGTGAAGCAACAAGAACAATTAGCATATTGCTTTCTGAAACAGGAAAACTTGTTCCAGCACTGGAAAAATTGGGACCATGTGACAAATGCACATCTTTCTTACTCATTGCCTAGTTGTGCCAGATACATACTAATCAAAGTCTAGAAAACAAAGTATCATCACTTTCCTATCATCTCAAAAACCAAAAGTTCATTTTATTTACCAAGCAGTAATGGACTAAAAACAAACAATTTTCAATACAGGGGTACCATCTCTACATGTAATTCATAATGTTATCCATCTCCATTATGAAACAAAATAAAACTAAAACTAAATGACCTTTAAAAGTGTATTTTGGTTCCCTACCATGTAACTGGTGCATTCATACCATTAACTATGGGTGTAGTCAGGGTCAGGGGTCAGGAGGGCCATTTAGCCAGGGGCCTCAAGCTCAAAGAAGGCCTTAAATCTAGACACTTGTTAATTTTTTGGCATTTAATAAGTTTCTCAACTTGTTTTTAGGTGCACTGAACCAAATTGTGACATACTATCAGTTTAGAGCTGCAAATTTGAAAACATAAGAGATGTGATTTGGTAAAAGACTTTTGTTGTTGTTAACTGCTTTTGTCTTATGTTTAATATCAACTGTGACACTACAAGAAAGCAATATTTCCCCTCAATAACTAGGTGCAATTGCACAGCACACACAAAAGGCAAGAAAAGCATTCACTTTAAAAGGAATTGAATTCTCTCTCACACACACACTTTGTTTTTGTGTATTGCCATTCCCCCCCCCCCCATTATAGCTGGGGACAGTGGTAGCTGGTCCATTAAGTCAACCAGGGTTTATCCCTACCAAGTGAAATGCCAACAAAAATTAAAATCAAGCCATTTCTCCCTCACAAAACTGCTAACAGAATGATTTTGGAATCTCCCCCATCTCACTCCCTCTTTCCCCTCTTTCTTTCCACTTCACTCACCTCCTAACATATGCACTATTTATGGAAAGCCTTCACAGCCACAAGCATAATACAATACAAAATGTAGTAATATACTTTGTCGGTTGCCCAACAGAACAAGTGAAAGAAACCCAAGTTTGTATTGAGCTACCTCAAATAAGCTTAAATATAGGTAAGGTTTTCACAGCCACAGGGGACAACTCAAGCTGTGATCCTATGCCCCCTTACCTGAGAGGAAGCCACAGAGACATATGTATGATTGCACTGTTTAACAGTGACATCTCCTTCTTGTACTATGCAACTCACGACATACTCATTCACAGGAGGAATAACTTGCAAAAAGCCAAACTGAATATCGGAATCATCGCATGCATGTTTAATATCTTCTCTAAAAACAAAAGAGCAATGTTTTACTTTACATCATTAAAGCTGCTAGTCAGAAAGTGCTAAAGCAACAGGAGCCACTCTTGGCAATCCTTTACAGCGTGCATAAAGTGCACTCACAACATATCTAGAGTGCTCCCCACCCCCAATCGCATAGAAACCAAAGGGCGTGAGACCCATACAACTTCAAAGAATTACAAAGCAATATGGTCCAGTATGCTTTCTATTTCAGTTTCTGCAATAGCCAAATGCCCACATATTTATCATTCATTCATTCTTACATACAATAAAAATAAAACACAGTACTGTAGTCATATCACATCAGTTTGTTCTCCGGTATAAATACCCACAGACAAAATGCATGAACAAAAGATATGTCAATTGAGAATGCTGATACTAATCCATCAATATCTTATACTGTATATTAACAGCAAACTGAATGTGTATGTATCCTTACATATTAAAAATAACACCATCCATGGACAAGGGAGGGGATAAGCAGGTTGGGGAAATCCCAAGATATACAAGTATATTACAAATTCTCAGGAGCAAGAACATTGCTAACACTCCTACAAGGACTAATTTTATTAGGTCTGAGATAAAGAGAAATAAACTGTATGAGCCAAGGGCCATACAGATATTTTCAGTCCTTTTACCCATTTAAAATGGGCAAAACTTTTCTAAATGCCTGTAGGATCAAAATTCCAAAATGTAAAAATGTAAACACTATTCTATCTAGTTACAGGTTGTTCTGATTCTCATTATTCTAATAGAGGCCCTTCCAATATTGTCTGAGATAAAGGGCAGGATCTTACTATGGGTGTCGTGAAAGTTCAACTGAGCCTAGCTTGAATACAAATCCCAGGAGTTCACAAGACCCACCCTCAAATCAAGAAACGAGTTTCCCAACCCATGGACTTCCTCTCTCTGTTCACGCATAGATCCTAGGAAGAAAAGTGGGATATAAATGTAGCAAACAAATCCAAGGACTGAGGGAAGAAGTCTAGTGATTCTTCCTGCCTATCTCTATTACTTCTTTTCGGCCATCCAAAGCCATCACCATAGCAGCCTCCTACACCATTCCCCACTTCCCTTCACAAGAGCATGTGATTGTATAAAAAGAACAGGGGAAGTAGTGTCCTTTCATCCCATCCTTGATCGCCCTATGTAAATACAAAAGGTTCCCTTAAACAAGCAACTGTCCCATAAAACACCATGTCCCCTGATTAGGATGGGATAAGGAGGAGGGAAAGAAAGAGAATGAGCTGGGGGGAGAGGGCCATTTTTCTTGCCATCACTTCTGCCCCCCTAAGAGAAGGAAATGTGATATGTTTAGAGGGGTTTGGAGTAGCAGGAAAGAATGAGGGGCTGGAAATGACGTGGATATAGGAATGACTAGTTCGGAAGATTGTGAACTACCCTGAGATCTTCGGAAGGAGGGTGGCATACAAATTTAATTAATAATAATAATAATAATTAAAGCCTGCATTTTTATGCCCTATGGCACAGTGGTAGACTGGAGGGTGGGAAGAAGTGTCATATTTTACTTTGCACAGAATGATCTGGATGGATGGAAATGCTGCGTGTGTGCATCTGTGTTTGTTTGTATGTATGTATGTTTGTGTGTGAGATTGTATGCATGGGTGCGTGGCTGCATGTGTATGTGTGTATATGTGAAAAAATGAAAGTGTGAAAGAGTGAAATAGAGTTCTGCATGTCTGCATATATATAAATGCAGGTAAACATTGCCTTGTCTACGGCTGGCATGTGGCCCTTTTAAGGGTGCCTGACTGTCAACGTGGCTCTTGGGTCAAAAAAGGTTATCCAGCCTTGTTTTACTTAGCAAAAGAAAAAAAAAATATGAATGAACATAGCCATAGCATATAAAGGAAATATGGTTTTAAGTCCACATACTTAAAAACAACAATACCTAACACTTTGGCAACTATGTGAACAAAAGAAAATAAGGAATAACCAAACAGCAATACTCACCAATTCCACAAATGCAAGTCCACCATAACTGTGAGCCACAAAAAAAACATTTTCAGCTGCTGATTGGGAGATAAAGTGGTCCCATATGTAAATTGCATGTTCTTCAGGAGAGCCATTTTCCTAGAAAGTGAAGATAACACTAATTATGATCATGCTTATTTATTTGGAGCTTGAGATATGCTAGATGCTTTTTAAAAAAGTAAACAAAAAGTTCCTGCCCAAGAGGCTTATAATCCAAATAGACAAGAAACACAATGGATAAGAAGGGTTTTTTTAAGAGAGAGAAATATTATGCAGATATGCACCACACACTTCTTTAAACACACACAACCCCCTTCCTAACATGCAGTACATTCACTAAGAAGAAAATGGAACATCATAACTTGCACATGTTAGAAAATAGGGAGCTTTTTTTAAAGAAACAGAAGGAAATATAAAGTAAAAGAGAGATAGCTAGGCCAAAAGAAGTTAACTTTTAAGTAGCTTTTAAAGAAGAGAAAAATCAAAGAACAAACAAGAAGAGTGGGAAGAATGAAGAACTGTAGCTGCAACACACTGACCAGAGGCAACAGGAAGAAACTGATAATCACAATTATTTTGCAACTTGTACCCTACCCTAATCTTTTCTCAGCCATCATTGTTTAGTTTTACATTCCTCTGTATTATGCACTTAAAGATAACATTTAAAACCTATTACATCTGAAATACAATGGTCATAGACCTTCTAATTCCTTTCAATAGCTGTCCCACCGAAACAAACATTTACCTATATTGTGATAATATGATATGATTAATATACAGTTGTTGCACCGTGTATTTTCCTGCACCTGACCCCTATCATCTGCTCTACATCACCAGACTAGGGAAACAACATGCAGGAAACTTGCCCCAGAGCTTTATGGGAAAAAGGAGAATTAGTGTTGGTAGCAGCCTGAGGTCAACCTTAATGTCAAGTTCTACCAAAATCTGTAGCAGAAAAATAAGGAGAAGTTGATAGAAACATTTTAAATTCCAGCTATGGGAAGCTAAATAGTAATGCAGGGTCTACCTTACCTAAAGCCCATGAGACATAGGAGATAGAGAATGCAAGGTAGAACCATCCCTATTCATTTTAATTTGTGGATGAAAGGAGGCAGCTATAACTACTGGCTTTGTCTTCCTTGTTCAATCTAATGAACCTGTTCTTTTCACAAAAGGTTTAAAACCTTAAAATTCCTGCCTAATTAGACAAATCTCATGTCTCTTTTTTTGGGGAAAAACAAGTTAACACTTTATGAATAGAATTTAACAAGTCATTTAATGCAGTGATAAGTTTTAAAAGCTTTATTCTTAATTATTATCTTTATTTTAGTTCTCTTACTAGGAGAAGGCAGAATTAGTACATCTTACTATCTGTCAGTAACTATTAAAATTATCAGACATATCAGATATTGAGCACCTGTCAATCCAGTGAGCTGGAAATTCAATGAAAGACTACTCAGAAGATAAGGGAAATTTGGATTATTTAAGAAAAAAACATAATAAAAGATTATTTGATCACATATAAAATCCATAAAATTAAAAGCTACAGTGCATATTCATTTAATGATTACTTTAGTTATTTAAGGGAAAGTGTACAGAAAATTTGGTTTTATATTTCTAACTTTTGAATGTTCTATAGAACACAAGATTTATACCAGACAAGGGTGGGATATTAATAAACATACCAGTTAAACACAACATGTTTAATTATATTTACATTATTATTAATGGTTTTGTATAGGTAGGCCTAAGCAGAACCTGCTTATTTTGCTGCTAGGGAAAACTGGTAATTCCTAATTAATAGGGAAAATAGACAATACTGTCATTTGGTACTTTTCCTTATCTGCCTTGGAGCTTAATTTTATAGGATTTTGTAGCAGAAAATTGTGCAGTTTTGCCCCACTTACCTTGTATTTGATGCCAGAGTAGCACAAAGTGATATGTGCTTAATGAATACAATAAAATAGGGAAGAGTAATAAACAAGAGCAGCAAATAAGGAACACTTATTTTGAAAGAGGAGAATCTCAGCTTTAATTTTTGGCAGGAACATAGGAAGGAACTCTGCATATTAAGGCCCAGGCCCACCTCACCTTGTCTTTTCCTTCCCACCTTGCTTTTTTGCTTTCTAACAAATACCTTTCTTTTCTGGTAAGTGTTTGGCTGGCCAAGCTGATTATTGTTTTAGTATCTGAAGAACATGGATTTTTTAATGTTACTATTATCTCCTATTCAGAACCCAACATAGTAGTAAATAGCCCATTATGGCTAGTAGCAACTGAAAGCCACAATCTTCTATGAAGTTGTCTAATCGCCATTTAAAGCTGGTAGGCATCACCCCAGCTTGTGGAAGCAAATTCTGCCCTGAAATCTCCCAACATTTAGCTTGATGGGATAACCAGCGGTTCTGCCCTTATATGAGTGAGAAAAACATTTCTCTACCCATTTTTGTATCCACTATTCTTGAGAAAAATATAACTGAAACTACCCCATTGTGAAGTTTACTGGCTTTCACCAGGATCTTTGCAAGATTCAAAGAAAATTTTCTGTACAGTCATACCTCGGGTTGAAGTCGCTTCAGGTTAAGCCTTTTCGGGTTGCGCTCCGCGGAGACCTGGAAGTAACGGAGTGCGTTACTTCTGGGTTTCGCCGCTCAAAATGATGTCATGCGTGGAAGCTGCGAATCGCGACCCGCAGATGCGGGTTGCGTTCGCTTCAGGATGCGAACGGGGATCCGGAACGGATCCCTTTCGCATCCAGAGGTACCACTGTATATAAAATGAGGCATTTTAGAGACATATCTAGTCAGCTTGTTTGGGTTATATTACACATTAAGCAATATTATTTTAGTCTGGTTTAAAAAAACAACAACACAGCATTGTTTGACAAGTAAGACCAGCGAGGCATATAACATTTTAATGAATCAAACCATTAGTGTCCACAGATAAGCAGTGTGCATACAGTATATACAGTGTTTTCTGGAGCTTTCAAAATGCAGGTTAAAATCATGAATGGAATATTGCCATCATTAATTCTTAAATACCAAGCGGAAGGCAGGCAGAAACCAAAGCCTTATCAACTACACCAGATACTAATACCTAGGCATTGCAAGGTCTGCAGTTATGATGGACTACCTGAGCTGATAACACATGGAATTATCTAAACAACATTTGCATATTTGTGTAATTATTTCCTAAGGTTAATTAGCTCCAGCAAAGCAGTTTGCCCTTTGAGACTGCTTACAGTGACAGGTTCACATATTTCCTGCTTTGATGCCAAATTATCCTGATTCTTTTTTTCTTTTTTTGTTCTGCTAACCTGTTGCTGGGCAGATAGAAATCCTGCAATGTATTCAAGGAGCTCAATCGTGATAATTTCAAAATACAAAACTAGAGAACTTTCTCCCAAGAAGTAGACCATAGTCAAATCAGCCTTTCCACAGTTGAAAAGCAAACTGAAACTGTTTCAACAACATGTTAAACCTCTTGGTTTTTATAGCATGACTTCAGATATGCACTTTGTATTTACATACGCTCTTACTTTTCTATGTATGTAACCCAGTGCCATGTACTGAAATGTTAATCTGAACTGCTGGATGCCAACAATTTGCAATGGGAACACAGCTTTCCCGGCACATGTTATCCATGTCCAGAAACATATACTGATGTGTATAAATCAATGTATATGGCAATAAGGGCTACCTTTCTTTAAAAAAGGAAAAAGTTTGGTATCTTAGGTTTTAGCTCCATCCATTCAATTTTGAGCAATTTCTTCCTCACAGCACAGCCACACATGACACAACACCCATTGCTCAGGAGCCTCACTTTCAACACATGGAGAGGGTTTTCTGGAAAGTGCTGGGGGCTGAATGGGGGAAGAGAAAGGTCTGTTGCACAAGCTGATCTCTGCTGACATAACTGTTGGATACAAACCCCCATAAAATGATATAGACAGAAATTTTACTTTGCAATAGAGGTCACCAATGCAGGAAGAAGCAAAGGCATATTTTGGATGGAATATTAGGATGTGGAATATTAGGATGTGGGAAATCTGTCATCCTTTCACACATCTGATTCAGCCTAGGCAGGATTTCCTGTGGAAAGTGTAACTATTTTTGCCGAATGCGAGCTTCATTCATCAGAATACACTACTTTAGAAACTATATAGATAGAAGTCTAAGTATTTTAAACACAAAACCTATATAACCAACACCAAGTTGTGATTACAAGAGTCCAGCAATAAAATATCTCAGTGTACATACTGATGATTTTTAATATTCAGATAGATGCTATCCAAATAAAGCAAACAGGTTATTGTCCATAATCTCTTTTTTCATCAAAGCTCATTCAAAAGTTCAAAACCGGTTTTGCTTTAACCATGTAAAATGCCAATAAGACATTTGCTGCATTGTAATAGTTGCACCTTCTGCTCTGGATGCCCCTTGAATTGAGAATTGTCACCAATGTGTTAATCATTACTATTCTAGTCTGCTATTCAGTGTAACTAAGTTATTGATCCCACTGGTATTTTTCAGTCCTGTTTGACACAGAATAAGAACAGAATAAACATAATGGAGAGCTGTAGTACCAGTTCAAATAGGGTGTATCACCAACAATCATGGAGGAAAACAGGGCAGTTGGAACAAGGGCACTTTATAGAAGGCAAGGCAGAGCAATTTAAGAGTGGCCTGATGAGCAGATGTCAGACGTGAGCAGAATGCAGGTCTATGAAGAACATGAAATCCATGAACAGGTACCTAAGATTTAGTGTGAAATGTTACCAGGTAGTATAAGTGCTCAGAAAATGCTTGGACAAATTAATTTATTCATGACTGCCACAAATGTTAAATCAAGCATCCATGCAGTGTACCTATGATCATCAGATGCTTGGGACAAAAATTATATATGTGGATGACTATCACGATCCTGATCAGATAGTGGGGTTCCAGACACCTGATCTGTCTTGTTTCAGAGCCAGAATGCTGGACTAAATGGTAACAAGAGCTGCTTTGATGTGGCTAATTATATATAGTGGGGTGCAGGAAGAACCTGGGGTCCTCCAGATGTTGTTAGATTCCCCCCACCAACTCCACTCAGTATAGCAACCGTTAAGAGATAATTGGGAGCTGTAGTCCAGTAACGTCTGGAGTGTCTCCGCTTTCTGAACCTTGCTATATAGATTAGATATGAGAAGTCAGCAAAATAAGAAATGAAGCCAAGACACAACTATTACCCATGACAAACTAAGGGGGAGAGAACAAGGAATCAAAGAATGAGAACAGAAATCGTGCTCCGGCGGTGCGGCGGTAGCAGGAGGCCCCATTAGCTAAAGTGGTGCTTCAGGTTAAGAACGGACCTCCGGAACGAATTAAGTACTTAACCCGAGGTACCACTATATTTAGAAAGGTTGCAGCCATGATCAACGGCAGTTCCAGCCTAAAGACATGCAAGTGATGGATGACATTCAGACATTAAAAACCACTGCCAAGACCCTGTATTTCAGTGTCCTGCTCAGAAAGGTGATAGGACAAGCCTAGTCCCTCTTAAAAGTGGAGCTGGCATAGAGAAACACAAAAGCATTGCAAAGCTTTTCCCTGTATGTAATAGCTGGGCTAGTTAGTGGCTAAGAAAAGCTCTTGACAGGACTCATAGGTGGGTAGGTAGAGATGAGATTGCACTGGATCCAGCATAGCTACCAGAACCTTCGGCAGAAATATATTGTTACTGAAATTACGGGGGGGGGGTCCTCACATCTTTAAAGTTGTTAAATGTTACAAATATTATGCCTGAATGTATCCTTTTGACTTGACAGCTCAGGGAAGATACATAGCTTTATGAATCATATAAAATAAACCCCTTTGCCAAGTTCCTCCATTCCAACACCATTTTGCCCTTGGAAAAAGGACTCTTTCCCCTGCCACCTCCCCAAGCTTGAAGACATGTATACACACCTCCTACCCGAGGAAATGCCCAGAGGTGACAATTGCTGGGCTCATTGATCTCCAAGGGAAGCCAAATCTCATCACCAGACTTGCCTCAGGCTCCAGACATGCAAAAGACATGCACTTTTGGGTGGTGGGTACTTAAGACATGTTTGCCTATGCTTATCTTATACTTGGGTGTTGCCCTGACATATCTGTCTATGCTAATCTTGTGTAACCCTCCCCTTTTGTGACATGTTAGTGATGTAACAATGATGCATTTATGATGCTGTGCAAACTGTATTCTGGGATTTGGTGGGAAAGTTTTAAAAGTCAATGTCACCCTATGCTCAGGGTTCACTTGCTGCTGTTGAACCTGTTGCGCAACAATAAAGAATCTAAGTCTACTGACTGCTGTTTTGCTCCAAAATTGCTTGGCTGGAATTTCCTTCTTTTACTGACCGCATGGACCCACGGTAGACTTGTACCCCAACGAGCTGGGCTGTTGAGTAGTCTCTCAACCCAGAATTTTCCTTAAATTGTGAGCTCCTCAGACCAGGGTTTTGCCGTCTTGTACTCTGTAAAGCTCTGTGCTTACTGATGGCATTATAGAAATAATAATACTGTGATTACTGGATCAGTATTTTAACATACAAGCAGTCTTGATTCAAGTTTTTCAGCAGGTAGAACGTGTGTCAAGATGACGGGACATGATACTTGCTGCCAGAGTGCATAAGGCTTTAGCTGAATGTAGGTAATCATGTATGAGGTAGATTTTGTCAGCGTTGTCAAACTACCATTATAAACAAAAATATTATTTTTAAAGTGAAATACAGCCGAAGTTCACTAATTAGGGAAGAACTGGTATTAAACACTTATTTCTGAGTAAACATACATGAGATTGCACTTCAAATGCAGTTTCCATCATGCTTGCAAAAGCACAAAAAACCCACACTATGTGAATTATATGATATTCAATATGCAGGCCAGCTGTTATCTTCATAATGTATTTCAAATGAGCCCACACAGTTGAAAAAGTTGCCCATCACTGTGGGAAAGTAATGAATGCTATCAGCAGCCAGTTGTCCTCTCTGTAAATAATACTGTAGAATGGAAGCACAATGTACATATAATTATTGAAGCACTGAGTGTCAGACTTCCTTGGGTCTATTTGTGATCCAGGGAACAAAAAATTATTTCAGCATTCTAACTTTTGGAAATTTCAGAGGACTTTGGCAGAGGATAGGTGAAGCAAAGGTTAATGCTCAACACACATCTTTTATTACCAAACCATATGCTAAAGGTCACCCTAGGATAATTTTAGAAACTAAGCAGGTTTTATTTTACATAAAACCTTCCTACTCATTAAAAATTGTTCTAAGTGTATATTCTTTCCAAATGTCACTACATGCCAACACATTGCACATAATGTTGCAATAGGTTATATATAAACACTGTCAAACAGTAATAGAGTAACTTTGCATGAAATGGAATTGAATTATGATATACAGCAATATAAAGTAATAAAATCCGTTTCCTCTACAGCACATTTTGGCTCATTCCACTTCAGAAAAAAATGCTGCTTCTTCCATGCCCACCTAACTTACAGTCGGGATGTTGCTTAAGGGGCTGAAATAAACCTCTCCTAGAGCACATGCATCTCGCCAAATGGCAGAGACAAGAAGGAATGCAAA